CTCACCAGCAGGTGGCGCAAGCGGCTGTTGATGAAGACCAAAGCAACAGGTGGATTAAGTCATTCATTCACAAAAACTGAATGAATGACTTAAGTAGAAGTTTGGATTATCGGGGCCAGTATAAAACATGTGGAAAAGCTGATTGTGTGTATGTTTAATTCAACATCTTCGCTGTTTCCTGTAGCCTACATGTAAGCAGCGTTCTCTACCCCAAAGGAGATTATAATGCTGTTTTACCCAACGCTGAAGTACAGAACTAACATTACATCTGAGGAAGACATATATTGCTTTTGGTTGCTTAGTTTCCGTAACTTTGTATCATGGCTTGTGTGACGCTGTGCTGTAATACTGGGGATCCCCTCACGTCACACTCCAGGATTCCCCAACGATGCGTTAAGGCGCCTCATTGAACTAACACAGTGATATAAGACCTCAGAATACACTTTATTGATGATTATGCGAACTATATAGAGGCAAGCAAATGAGGTCAGAAGAACGCAATGCGCTGCATTTTCTTTATAATTGCTTTCCCTTACCACTGATCTATAGAGTCGACAGTCCTACAAAGATATCGGTACCACGATTAGTTTTAACAATATGCAACCACTTTATATCGACATAAAAAAGGAGTTCAAAACCGCCTAGGTGTATTATTGTTGCAAATTTAAACCGAAGAAAGTATTGACGCGCTATCGCACCCAAGGGACTGTCTGACAATTCCACCGACTGGGTTAAAACGTCCAATGTATTTTAATTAAAATGTAAAATAACACCGTCAAATTCTAAAGCTTGTATTGCTTATAGTGATTTTCTACAGGTGAGTAATATGCAATTATTTACATATAAAGATCCCTGGAAAGGGTTTTTCATGTTCCAACGGTTGTAGTACGTAGCTAGATACAAGACTGACCTATTACAGGTTATAGTTTTTTTTACTATTCACCAAAAGGGTTTTTTCCATGTTGTACAGGTTGTAGTACGTTGCTAGTTACAAGACTGACTTCATGTATGTATGTACCATTCACAATTATTTAAAACAAAAACTAAAAAATCTGTAAGACCCCAAAAGAGATTTTTCATGTTCCAAAGGTTGTATTATAAAATATTGATGTACTTTATGTACAGCAAGGGAGGTATTACAAAAATTTTACCTGTAGTAAGTCAGTCTAGTCACTAGGAATGTACTACCAACTTTTGGAACATAAAAAAAAAACTTTGTGAATTACAGTAATTTCTTAATAATTATATACTGTATATACAGTAAGGAATATATTGGCAAAATTTAAACTGTAGCAAGTCAGTCTGGTCGCTAGTAACATACTAGTAACATACAATATTTGGAACACGAAAAACCCCATTTTGGTGAATTGCTGTAATTTTTTTCTTAAAACGTGTGTAGTGTACATACTTAGGGAAAGTATTGTCTAAGGCGAGTTATTGGCAATATATTTAGTCCGTTTGAGTAAATTATTAATTTACTGTAAACATTAATTTAAATAAATTATTGTACTTCGTTTCGTTTTGAGGTAAATTTGATCAACCTGGGGCACCTTTCACGATTTCAACCAAGGGGAACGCGATCGCAATTTCTTCCGAGTGGAACCCCCCGGAACGTGATTTACCGAGGGGAACGCCAAACTCGTCTGTACTGGGGGGGGAACACCCCCTCGGGCTGCGATTTCTAAGGAGGGGGAACCCTCCCCCCACGAGAAGACAATGGCCAAAACGCTGTTACCTCGTCCAGTCGTTTAGTTGCAGCGCTCTGATTGTTTGTTTGTGTCATTTATCAGTAGTGACGCAGACTTGACACTCCTCTCGCAATCCCCATGACTGAAGCACTTCCTTTAATAGATTAGTGGATATACTCTCTAGCTTACATGTTGGTAAACGTTTTGATGTCTGTTTCTTTGTGCTATTTAACTGGGCTAACTTTCATTTGCCTTTTTTCACCATAGACCTCATGCCGCTGAAAGAGGAGTGCATAGTACCGAATGAAACAGAAGAGAAAGAACAATATGAGACTCATCATGATTTTAAAACCGAAGAATCTTTCGGTTGGTCACAGATTAAAGAGACTTTCTCACAAAAAAAATCGCCCATAAAACAGGAACTACAAGTTATTTCACCCCTTTTCACTGTGAAAAGAGTTTCAGTGAACATGGAAACCTTAAAAGTCCACATGAGAGTTCACCCTAGAGGGAAGACTTTTACCTGCCAACAGTGTGGAAAGAGTTTCAATCATAAAGGAAACCTTAACAGGCACATGAGAATTCACACAAGAAAAAAGCCTTTTACCTGCCCTAAGTGTGGAAAGAGTTTCAATCAAAAAGGAAACCTTAACGTGCACATGAGAATTCACACGAGAAAAAAGCCTTTTACCTGCCCTAAGTGTGGAAAGGGTTTCAATCAAAAAGGATGCCTTAAAGTGCACATGAGAATTCACACTGGAAAGAAGCCTTACACCTGCCAACGGTGTGGAAAAGGTTTCAGACATAAAGGAACCCTTAGAGTGCACATGCGAATTCACACTGGAGACAAGCCTTACATCTGCCCTGAGTGTGGAAAGAGTTTCGATCAACATGGAAACCTTAAAGTGCACATGAGAGTTCACACTGGAGAGAAACCATACTCCTGTCTTCAGTGTGGAAAGAGTTTTACTCAAAAAGGAGCTCTTAAAGTCCACATGAGAGTTCACCCTGGAGGGAAGCCTTCTACCTGCCCTGAGTGTGGAAAGAGTTTCAGTCAAAAAGGAAACCTTAATTACCACATGAGAATTCACACTGGAGAGAAGCCATACTCCTGTCTTCAGTGTGGAACGAGTTTTACTCATAAAGGAACTCTTAAAGTCCACATGAGAGTTCACACTAGAGAGAGTCCTTGTATCTGCCAAGTGTGTGGAATGAGCTTCATTCATAAAGGATTACTTAATGAACACATGAGAATTCACGCTGGAGAAAAGGGTTACGTGTGCCATCAGTGTGGAAAAGGTTTCAACCGAAATGGAACCCTTAAAGTGCACATGACAATTCACACTAGAGAAAATTTTACATGCCCTCAGTGTGGAGAGAGTTTCGATCTACATGGACGCCTTAAATCCCACATGAGAGTTCACACTGGAGAGAGTCCCTTCACCTGCCAACAGTGTGGAAAACATTTTACTCAAAAATCAAACCGTAACAGTCACATGAGAAGAGTACATGGCATATTTTCAACACAATCTTGATCAACACACGAGGATTCGTTTGAGAGAACTGTTTTATGTCATCGGTGTGGAAGGAGTTTCTCAGACAGGAATCATGTAATAATGTTATGATGTGTAGGAAGCTCAGAAGTGAAGACCAGGGCCCGTATTCTTAAAGATTCTAAAAATCCTCTCAGAGAGCTCTTAATTTATCTTAAAAATTTCTACGTAGGAGTCTTAGCTTAAGAGCAATTCAGGACCAATCTGAGAGCAACTCTGAGCGAGGAAAAGACAAAAACGTTAATCTTAGTGAGGAGGCGGGGCTGACCCCGTTGCTACGTCTGACACAGTCTTTTGAAGACTGTGATTGGCTGGTTTTTCAAAGGGAAAAAGAGAGAGTGCTTTAGTGTTTATTATAAGCCTTCACTTTTAAATTACAGGCATTCTATAACCGAACTCACATTTTCAGGACTCACAACCGCATTCTCAGAAAGCACGCGCTGTATGAACTGGACAACTAGTGCGAGAGAGCCGCTCATGTGTGGTTTCACTTTGGGCACAGCGACGGAGAAATGAGCCGTGTGTCATCTGAAGGTTTTTAGATCCAGTCACTGTTCTCCACCGGAGTAGTTTCCGTCAGTTTTGTTCTGTGCGTCACAGTGCGTGCGTGACTCAAATGCAGTGTCATGCGCGAGACGCAGAAAAGGATGCGAGTGCATATACGGGCTTGACTGTCGTTGCACGTTCATACAGACAGTATTCGAGACGCTAATGTAAGCTGCCGTTTGAACGGTACATTTCGAGACTGTAAGGAAATGCGGTTGTCAATCCCTAAAAAAACTGACAGTGTGAACGTGGTGTAGGAAACTTTTTCCTTGTCGAAGCAGAGACCAGGAGACTCTTGGGTATCTTCAGCAGAGTTCTTTATTGAGAACGCGCTGTGTGGCGCTGCAGTCATCAAAAGTCTGACTATAGCTCAGCACAGTAGAGTTTATATACATTTTAAGGGGGCGGGATTCATTCAGTAGAGGTGGCGACAATCTAAACAAAGCATGCAAATGCAATACAGGAATCAGCCCGTTACCGGAATTTCTCCAGCCCTGATCTTATCAGCATAACAGTGTCATTCAAATGCATAGGTGCTAATCCAATCAGCATAACTACTCAAAGACTGGGGCGGAGGCACCAAGAGCCATTACTTTGGGAGGTGGCCAACAACCCGGTTTAAATGCTCAGGACACCGTCAAACTATGCTTTTAGTTATGCTTCAAGTCATCCCTTTTAGCCATGCGGCTTTTTAGCTTTTAGCTTCTAGCCTTTTTGCCACCGCGTTTTGACTCTGCTTTTTAGTGCTCTTTGAGCGTGCTCTGGCTTACACGCCAGCAGCTCCTCTAAAACCATGAGGAGAAAACCCGTCTAGTTACTTCTATTCTTCTACTGTCTTTTCTTTTCCGTTGAGAGTTTCGTGTTCTGAGTTAAGTTTTGCCGCAATGTGTCTCCAAGGTGACCGCCTCAACTTTAACCAGCCCACAACTCCGCATCTTCAGCCAACGCCCAACCATTGGCTTCCCAAGACGTCACTTCAACGACTACTGAACTTCCAGCCAATCAGCAATCTCGGGAAACCCCCTTTCTTTAAGGGAACCCCCCCCTACACAGGCAATGCAAGTACCTCCAGATTCTAGCTGAACTGGTGCATTTCATATAAATTTTAACCTCATTGAGGAACTCAATGCGAGGGTTAAGTGATTGATGGTTGTTCAGGTCTATGTAATTGCACATATTGCTGTAAATGCGAGGGTTAATGAAGTGATTGATGGTTGTTCAGGTCTATGCAATTGCACATATTGCTGTAAACTTGGGATTTCACATTTTCATTCTCTTAAACTCATTCTTTCCTCACTTTCTGCAACTTGTGTGAATGCGTGTGTTAGAGTAGTTTATATGTCTTAGATTTATCCAATAAAGTCTTGTGTATTGAAAAGAGAAGTATCTTGTGTTTTGTGCTTACAAGTTAATGTCTTAAATGCCGATCTTGTTACTGTGCTAATAAATAGTGTTTTCACTATACTTTGGATATTAATATCCATTGCAGAATTTATGTTATACGGCTCGTTCAATGAATCGCTGGCCGATTAAGTAATCAGCCGCAAAACAGTGATTCGGTCCAAATTCCCTATAAAATCATAAATGATTCCCTTTGAGCTAAATTGACCTGTTTCCCTTACAGAGCTCTTTTAACGGTTAAGATGCTTTCTGAATTACTTTCTTCTTTACTAGGATCTTTTCTTTAATTTTAAGAGGAAACGCCCACATTTCTAAGATTTTTCTTAGAATTGTGTCACTAGGAGCAATTCTTTGCACTAAGAATTTTCATGAATACGGGCCCAGATCCCGGTTGCATGAAAGCCCTTAAGCTAAGAAATCCTTAGTTATAAGGTTAAAACCTAAACTCTTTCCATGCACTTTTTCTCGGGCAAGTGTGTTCACGTAGAGGTTTTCAAGGGCCAATGTGAATAAATCTAGATTTAAATTAACCTCATACCGTTCTAGTGTGCCGCCCACGGTACACTGCATGCTTTGAGGGTTAACTTCGTGAAACACAAAAAAACAAAAAGGTAACCATGTCATATATCTTTGAAAAGCTGAGATTCTTGTGATTCGAATTATGTTATTTTGACCATTTTTTTTTTGACCATTTAATGACCATTTTAAGATACAATCAACACAGCAGGTACAATCAGTGTCTTTGTCAGACCAACAACAACCAAATAAACAATAACAAAACTGAAGGAACTCACCTATGAAGCCTCTTGTTAGTCCACTAGTTCACTACATTCCAACAAAAATGGGGTAGTTATACTGTAAAGGGTCCAGACTATCCAATTCAGTGAAATATTTAGTCCATAACACATTTATATGTTGATAAACATCCACGGAGTGTAGGAGTATCATTTCAGATCAGCCGACGCAGCGCTCAAATCCTCGGCGCATTCTGCAGTATAACTTGTTTACACACAAAAACAACACGGAATAATCGATGTTAAAATGGCCGCTGACCTCTGCTCTTTTGATTGACACCTTATTTGAACCAATAGCTGCATCTTTGAGGTGACCACAAGCCTCGATAACCAACTAGCATCCAGGATTAGGAATGGAACAGCCTCTCTGTGATCGACAGTAGATCGATCCAATTGCATCAGAGTTTGCAAATGACTGTCGTTTCTGATAGCCAATGACCTTCTGAACAGAATAATATGTCACTTGAGTGGGCGGCTAGGATGTTTCGGGTGAAAGGGGCCGTGCGCAAAAAGTTAGAGTGACCGGTGCGTCTGCGCGTATAATTACGACTTGTCAACTCGTAAGTACGTACGTCCCGGGAGGACTTGAACGCAGCATAAGTTTCCTTAAAACGTAGCGTGCGTTGCAACTCTTTGATCTAGATTTGTCCCACAATGAGCAGAATGTTTTGATGAAGTTATCCCTTAGTCCAATGATGAGTAATTCACAATACAGTAGAAAAACGGAGAGACAGAAACAAAAAGAGTTCTTCTACAAAACAAACATAATTAGCATATAACAACATCCCATAATTTCATCGCTACTTAAACAATTATTCAGAAACACAAACAGGCAAAAATAAAGTGCCAGTGTTGGAAAAATGAAAAAGTGCCAGAAACCCTTTATCTCTTACTCTTACTCGTAATGTCCATAAAATGCAAATAACCTCAAATGAAAATTAAATAAAATTGTTAGGCTGAACTGAGTTGCACTTAAAGATGGAAGCATAAAACGTCCTAGTTTTGGGAGAACCCCCCCCCCGCATACGTTGTCTGATTGAGAACTTAAATGGAAGATCAACAAAGCTCCATTTGTAGCAGTCCCACTTTTATAACTTTTTGCCTCCTGTGAAATGTAATTAATTTTATTTTTTACCAGAAATGGATTCTGAATGTAAAGGAGAAACTGGTCTCCAGGGCTGAAGTGCACAAAACGATCTCTGAAGTTTCCAGTTAGTTTCTGTATGAACTCAGCCATCTAACATTGCCGTTGTAGTGGACAGCACATTCCAGGGCCCAGTTTAGGGCGGGGCCCCTCTCTGACCACTATAGTGCTACATTTTGATTGGATGTTGGTGGACTAACATAAGCAAACTGTCCTACACCATCAGATAAAGATCAACAGCCAGACACCTCTTATAGGGCAAGAAGAAGACCTTTGTTACAAAGCCCGGGAAGGACAGGACTTCTCATTGGTCAAAATGCAGTTTCTGCCCTTCACCCACCAACAGCCTGATTCCTAAGGTTTTGGCCTGTGACCGCCATAAAAATTCCTTAGGACCTCTGGATGCAGCAGCAGTGGGTGAAACAAAGAGGGATCACAGAGTTCCATCCAAATCCATTCATATCTATGTTCTCAAACCTAAAACTGATGCAAAGTACAACACACACATCTTATACTTATGCAGAGAAATAAGTATTCTCAGTGGCAGCGACGCGTAGTGCAACATCTTACACACACTCCATATAGACTAATGAATGCATGCATGAAAGTTCAATCTTCTTCCATCATGTTTGGACTTAATGTGTTCGTAACGTTGCCAAAGGTATTCTGGTCGTGGTTTGGTAAGTGAATAATGCATTGGTAAAGCTTTGGTGACACTTTTCTAAATGTGTGTTTGTACTATGCAAATAAGTTCCACAGGAGGAAAGAAGGGTGGGCCACACTGTGTCCCCCCACTCTGATGGAAACAGCCAATCACAGCCTGGAAATGGAGAAGCGCCAGATTGACAAGACACAAGTGTAATAAAATAGATTTTATTAACTAAAGATAGAAAAGAGAAGCTTTGTCAAGAATGCAACAACTACTAAATGAATACCATAAATGAAATATTCCTATTTCATTTATGGTATTCATTTAGTAGTTGTTGATTACTCTTGTCTATCTTTTGTTAATAAAATCTATTTTATTACACTTGTGTCTTCCTTGTGTTGATGATACAGAAAGAGGTTCTACAAGTTAGAGATCCCACCAATCTTTCTTATGTGATGTACTCATAACCACACCTTAAGCGACACGTGATCCAAATATCATAACGTCATTGGTGACGCGAGTACCCATCACTACACTATTTCACCTCCCTAGGTTGGCGAAAGCAAATTCACTACCCAGTGAAGCACTGCAGTAGGTCACAGTGTTTTCTTTGTGCAAAAAAAGTATTCTCGTAGCTTCATAGCAGTATGGTTGAACCACCGATGTGACGAATGCAAGCAGAATCAGCAGAAAATAAAAACAGACAATAACAATAAGATAAAATGAGTATTGAGTTTAATCAATTATTACTCAGAAGCAAATACAAAAAGTCAAAACATCTAAAGAGAAGAGGAGAAGCAACGTGTCTGGTTTCAAAGCTACATGAAAGTATATTTTACATTTGCATGGAAGAGTAGAAGTGGAAGAGAAACTAGATGTTCTAATGAAAAACAATGAAGAACAAGTTAAAGGTGGGGTAAGCGATTTTTCAAAAACACTAGGAAACCGATTCGGGCCGAATCGCAAAACAAACTTGTAGCCAATCAGCAGTAAGGGGCGTGTCTACTCGTGATGTGGAGGAGAGAGCGTTCAGTGCACGGGACGGACATTAGACGAGCCGAGCGATGACCAAAAGATAGAGATGGCGGATAAAAAAACAAAAGAGGAAAATGTCTGCGGAACAAAAGAAGGCTTAAGGCAAGAAGCAGGACCCGTGTAAATATCGGATCAGCTTTCCAGAGACACTTTTGGGGTAGGGGCGTGGGTGTTTTGGTGATTTCAAATGTCAACATTGGCTACCAGAAATCACTTACCCCACCTTTAAAAATACTATCAGATTCACATCTCTCTTAAAAGTGTCATGGCCTCTTTTTCAGCTCCCTGAAAGTTTTTCCAGTGTGAATTTTCTAGTGTTCTTTCAGATCATCATCTGTAGTAAAAGACTTCCAGCACTTAAAACACACACCGCCGTGTCTTTTCTGCTGTAATATTACGAATGAGTCTTCTCGTGTGTGAATCTTCGGGTGTTTCTTCAGGACTGATGCTCAATGAAACACTTCACTGCACTGCTCACCGTTAATTATCAGAACGAGAAGGCAGATGTGATTTCAGAGCGAAATTCCCAGTGTGAACTCTCATTTGGCCTTGATTCACACTGCAATCTTTTTTTTTACACTGAGGGCAGGTGACAGATTCTTTGGCTTCTGGTTTTCCTTTCTTGTTCACATCCATCAGGTCTAAAAGAAACATTAAATCATGTGAGATTTCAAATGAGAGACAAACGTGAAATGAAAAGTGATGAAAACCCAAAAGTCAAGATCACTGACGAGTTCATTTTAATCCATCAAATCTGCTCGACAACTGCTGTGCACGATTATGATCTATTTTAACGTCATGAAGATGATTTGTGTAATACATCACTAATTTGGTCATGAAACTCTACATAGTTTAGGCTTTTAATGTAATCTGCTAACAGTCGCATTGTTTCCTACACGGCACAGGCTTCTTCAGCATGATGAATGAAGGAATGAAGAATAAACACCGAGCTGTTTGTTCTTCAGAATCGTGACGTTTCATTCCGCAGATTCTGAATCAGATTTCATTCTGCTGTGAACTCTGATTGATTTCTGGAACTTCTGCCAAAAACAAACATTTCATTTTTAATAGATATGATGCGAGATCAATATTTCAGTTTATACACTTAAGTACTAAGACTAATTATATATTTAGTCAAATATACCCATTTTAGGGTATAACTGCATTTATGGAGTTGTTATCCTGCATCATATTTGTCAAAAGTCAACTATATTAAATAATAGTTTCATTGCTTGTAATTATACTATAAACCCTAGTAAATAGTATAAATATATAAGTCATAATAATGAGAAACCTTCTCATAATTATGGCTTAGCATCTCCTAATTGTTGTATTGTTGATTTATAATTGTTGTTTTAATTCCTACTTCCTCTTTCTGTTGCATAAAAATTTTTTTTTAATGTTCAACAGTAATACTGAGAAACAATCTCATAATAATAATGAGTTATGTTGTTATTTTCAGAAAATACATTTCGTAATGAAATACTTTCAAATAATGGTAATAATTAGATACTTTCTCATAATAACATGCAGAACATCCCATAATAATCAGATACATTCTCACAATAATGAGATACTTTCTTTTAATTATGTCTCAGTATCTCATAATAATAATGCTAAAATATTAAAGCAGATATCAAGCAAACAACAAAATGTCCTGTTGCTCACTGTGACTGAAAGGAATCTAACTTACTCAGAAGAGACTTACATAAAGATGAACAGCTTACAGTGATTTCAGACTGTGATTGTCTGTTTTGTATGAATGAATGAAGAAGATAACTGGACGAACCTCTCCTCACATGGTTTCTCCACTGCATGGATCTTCATGTGTATCTTCAGGTGACTTTTAAAAGCGAAACTCTTCCCGCACTGATCACATGTGTACGCTTTCTCTCCGCTGTGGATCCTCTCATGTCTTTTCAGATTTCCTGACAGACTGAATCTCTTGTCACAGTGTGAACACTTGTGAGGTTTCTCTCCAGTGTGGATCCTCTGGTGCAGGTTTAAGCAGCTCGCTGAAGTAAAAGTCTTGTCACACTCAAAGCACATGTAGTCTCTCACATCAGCATGCATTTTCTCATGTTTCTGTAAACTTTGCAGCTGTGAAAAACTCTTTCCACATTCAGAACATGAATGTGGCTTCTCCTTCGTATGAACTGCCAGGTGTTTCTTCAGGTCTGATGCCCAAAGAAACGTTTTGCCGCAGTGATCACATGGGTACATAATATCTCTTGTGTGAATCCTCATGTGAGCATGAAGGTATGATGATAGCTTGAAGCTCTTCCCACACTGATGGCATGTGAATGGTTTTTCTCCAGTATGAATTCTTATGTGATCCTCAAGACTTTGTTTTTCTGAGAAGCTCTTCCCGCACTGATCACATGTGAAGGGCTTTTCTCCAGTGTGAACTCTCCTGTGACGCTCGAGATGATGTTTATGTGTGAAACTCGTCCCGCACTGATCACACGAGAACGGCTTCTCGCCGGTGTGAACTCTCATGTGAAGTTTAAGATTACGTTTGGTTGAGAAGCTCTTCCCGCACTGATCACACGAGAACGGCTTTTCTCCCGTGTGAACTCTCATGTGTCCTTTAAGGTTTCCTTTTTGTGTGAAACTCGTCCCGCACTGATCACACGTGAACGGCTTCTCTCCGGTGTGAACTCTCATGTGAAACTCAAGATTATGTTTGGTTGTGTAACTCTTCCCGCACTGAGTGCAGGTGAAAGATTTCTTGGCTCTTCTTTTCTTTAAAAATGTCTTTTCAGTCTTCGAGCGACCCAAAGGTTTTCCTCCAGGTTTGACATGATGTTTCTCCTCCACTTCACTCAGTTCTTCACTCTCCTCGCTCTCTTCCATCAGGTCTGAAATGAAAAAAAAAGTTTACATAAATTTTCGGTAAATCTAAATAATTCAATATCAGGAACATGAAAGCACATGCAAAGAATGCAATGACTAACATTTGAAAGGATACTATGGCAAAGTTATCGCTTTCCTTATTCAAACCGATTTTTTTTTCATGAATATATGAAGAATGAAAGCTATATCATACACTTGGAAAATTATGAGCTATATCACTGCTTATCGACACTAGTGGTGTGACAATACACTGAGCTCATGAGATGAGACAAAATACAGATGCTTGGTTCACTAGAACGAGACAATGTTTTAATACTATTTGTAAGAAATTTTCATTGACAAAATATTTGTCTTTCAATTACAAAAAGTAAAACAATGCAGTTGGATTTTGAAATATTTTAACTAATCTAGGGCTGTAACTAATGATTATTTTGGTAATCAAGTAATCTGTACAATAAATGGCATATTTAGAAATAGGTTGATGTATTCTCCTGTGTTGGCAAAGGTTTACAAATGATTTACGTTGAAAATCTAGTGAGATAATGCACACTTGTTTTCCCAGATGAACGTTAAGCAATTCAAATTCACAGCATATGCAGAGGAAGAGTTTAGCCCCTTTCACACATAAATTACTGGTAAGTTACCGTTAATAGATCATGTGTGAACAGGACCTTTCCGAAAATCTCGGTAAATTTGTTCTCGCAATCATATCGTTCTTAAGGAGATGACATGATTACTCTGAGCTGTTTACAAAGCTCCGCTGCTTTTTAATTAGTTTTTCTATGTAAATATGCGCTAGATGGACATCTTTGACCATTGCGCCCCGCAGCTTTTTCAACGTGTCGCGCTTCTCCATTCAACAGCTGCGACTCTGTCTGATTGGCAGATTCTGATTGGCTAGTAATGTTAGTTTGGTTGAGAGTGAAAGCTGAGCTCCTCTCATACCACTGGTAGACGAACTCATGGACTCAAAAGTGATATCAACAAGTTTTGTTTAAATGTACGATTTTTTTTTTCCGCAGCCAAACGCTGCACGCTTTAAGCCCTGGAAAGGACATAAAAGTGAGCCATGATGTAACAAAGTAGACAACTACAATAAAATATTACAATTACTTAGATCAGCATATGCAGAGGAAGAGTTTAGCCCCTTTCACACATAAATTACTGGTAAGTTACCGTTAATAGATCATGTGTGAACAGGACCTTTCCGAAAATCTCGGTAAATTTGTTCTCGCAATCATATCGTTCTTAAGGAGATGACATGATTACTCTGAGCTGTAAGTAGACAACTACAATAAAATATTACAATTACTTAGATGCCTTTCAGTTAGTGCTGTCAAACGATTAATCACGATTAATCGCATTCGAAATAAGTGTTTGTTTTACATAATGTGTGTGTACTGTGTATATTTATTATCTATATATAAATACACACACATGCACGTATGTATTGTGAAAATATTTCCATGTATTTACATGCATATATTTATATTGTATATAAATATATTTAATATATAAACATAACATATTCTTCCTAAATATATATATGTGCATGTGTGTGTATTTATATATACATAATAAATATACACAGTACACACACATATATTACGGAAACCAAAACTTTTATTTTGGATGCGATTAATCGCGATTAATCGTTTAAACGTCTCTGAAACTTTCCAAAAATTATGTACATTGATCTTCCTATAATTATTTTTAAAACATAAATACAAATCACACATTTCGGTAGTGAGAAGTATTAAATATATGAAATCAATGACACAATTATCTAATTGTAATATTATCAAAATATGATAATATTATCAAAGCAAAGATGCAGTAGATCACTTCCATCAGCATCCCAAAGCTTGCACAGTCCTTTACCTCTTCCTGGATCCACATTTCACTCGCTAACATCAGGCAGCTTTCATTTATAAGCTGTTTATTGTTGAAGATCGCATTATTTTTCACATGCATAGCCTGACGTATCTTTCGCATCCCAAATATTGGTGAAGTGCAGAGAGTAACGAGGCCATTGGAATTCGCCAGTTTACTGCTATTTTCACAAATAATAGGCCTATTACTAAATTAGGTAATATTACCAAGTTTAATCTTTTTTTTTTGTGTGTGTACAGAATGCAATTTGACTTTTTTCATCTTCTAAGCAAAACCTTAATTTGAACTTATTAGTTATAAAATAACATGAACATCCAATAAAGACAATTAAAAACACAATAGACAAAACAACAAAAATAAAGACGAATGATGTTTGAGAGGTAACACGTCTTATTCCAATAGTTATAAAACAACTTTATATACAGTTTAATCAATTGAATATAATATATTTAATGCAACAACACATCTATTTGCATTAAAGCCCTTTTTCTCAACAAAAAGTGTTTCTAAACTAGTGTTTCGCGATATTTGAAGTATCGATGTAAAATTTATGTGCACAGAAAATCTAGAAATACCAAATTTTGCTATGAGTTCGATTGCATCATATAATAATTGCTGTTAATAGTGTTCATCGTCTGTTTGATTACGTCTTTAATTGATTTTTCCGTACATTTCTGCCATATGTACATTAACTGACAGTCACCACTGATAAGCTACCACTAAATATTGTAGAAACGTAATTTGCTGTAAAGTTGCTTTGCAACTATTTGTATCGTGAAAAGCAAAAAAAAGCACACAAAAAAAAAAAAAAGGAAAAAGACTGTTGACATTTACAAAAATGGGGCTGAGGGATCCCGGACCTCCCATAAGCATTAAGGGATCCCTTGGTTTTACAGTAAACTATAATACTTAAAACATGAAAATAGTGAAAATTTTAATTAAATAAAAAGTGTTCATTGCTGTATTAACTTTAGACCTGCTCATGTTGCATCATATTTCTTTTTACGCGTTTTTACAGCATTGCATGTTATAACCAATCACACATGATTGTGTTGAGCTTAGGAATGCAATGTCCAATCAGAAGCGTTCAGATGAGTCATCGCTGAAACACTGAAGTTTTGAACAAATTCTGACTGCAACTCGCAACTTCTCCCATTATAAGCAACAAAGTGCAGATGCATGTACGATGCAAGCAAGATCTTCATAAAGATTCATTTATGATAAAGTGTACGCGCAGCTTCAAACAGGGGTTTTGAGTGCTTAAACTCTGGCTAAGACTGAAGTCAGTGATCTTTCATGTAAATGTTCTTTGCTCGCTTTCTCCATAATTTACTCGCTGTTTGAATACCTGTGAAAATGTGAATACCTGTGTTAGAATTAGAGGTTACACTTTATTTCGATAGTCCACTTTAGACATTCTACTAACTATAAGTAACTTTGTAACTACATGTCAACTACATGTCAACTAATTCTCATTAATCTGCAACTACATGTCTACTAACTCTCAGAGTAGACTGTTAGGGTAGGTTTAGGGTTAGTAGAATAAGTTGACAAAGAAAGTGTTAGAAGATAGTCTTAAGTGTTAAGCAGACAGTCTACTAATACTCTACTAACTGCTAGTTGACATGTAGTTGCAAAGTTACTTACTGTTAATAGAATGTCTAAAGTGGACTATCGAAATAAAGTGTTACCGAATTAGAATGTTTTTCCTGAATTGTGATCAACTTCAGTCATATTAAACTATTCCGTGGTACTTGTCTAAACAGATGGGTTTATGATGTGAGTAGTTATATACATTATAGAGTACTTCAGCCTTACCATGCAGTTGGTTCACCCTCCGCCTATGGGTAAGATATTTAATTTGTGTATGTATATATATTTATATATACTGTATATATATATATATATATATATTTTTTTTTTT